CATACTATTCAGTTAATGAGAAGCGTTTTCTCCACAAACCACAAGTAATTTTCCTCTTTTAAAGTTCCGACTTACTAGCTAAATACTATTTTAAGATGCAAACTTTGCTCCACCACTCAGCAGCAGAGAAGCTATTCACACAGTAAATCAAATTCCACAGCTTGGAAAACCTGAACACTTATCCTATTTTCACTGTCACATCAGAGACAATCAGGTATTTGCTGTATTAATCGTCTATATGAATACTGCCTCTAATAGTTTCTCTTTGGATTTGTTAAATAGAATTGATCACTTGACCACACAGCCTCCAATTCTCACTTTAGTATGGCATCACACATCGTACAGTAAGAACTCCACACTCTAAAATCATTACTCTTGGAAATAGTTTCCATATATATCCTTTTCCAAACGTTCCCCTAATTGGTGCAAAAGAAGGAGAAAAATAACTATATTTTTATAGAAAATACTATATAGGGAAAAACTAATTATGCTACGTTAAGTCATGACTTAGAATATTAGTCTAATTAAACGATTTAAAATCTTTTGTTATGGGACAACATGCATGTTACATATTTTTGGCCAACGTATCTTCCTCCAAAGTATCCAACTCTGATTCTGAAAATACCTTGAGGGAGGTCACAGATGACAAAAAATAATTGTAGCACATGTATTATTTGTGTAAAAATATGGTACTTATACCAACGAGGATTGGTGAGAAAAAAAAACCTCCTGAAATATACCATTCATATTTTAATTTTATAAATGAGTCAATGAAAACGAATATGTATCTTAAGGGGAAAACTACTGTTTGCAGAATAAAGAGGCAAAGTCCAACTATATAGCAGTTCAGCTGGTCAAAAGGGTACTGACACCACAATTAAATCCATGTTTGGACAATCATGACCCTAATACTTTTACTCTATTTAATCTAACACCTGGAATATACAAAGAATTACTGTATGCCTGGTAGACAATATATGCCATTAAAGACAAGATCAGTTCCAAAAAGAGTGAAAATGAATTATAAAATTCTTTTTCTAAAGTGCTTAAGATAGTTTCTTCATTAGCCTGTTTGGAATTCAACTATTAAAAGAATCAAAGGTTATACTAAAAACATATTTTTATCAAACATAATTTTTACACCTTTCATCCATCCACTGCAGTCAATCTCTCATGCATTTTCTTTATAGAAAGTAACTATAAAGCCAATAAAAATACTTTGAAGGGTATATAAAATTTTTATAATGTAGTAAATTCAGCAAAAGAGCCCAATACTTCTAAATTTAAGTCAAATGTCAGTGAACATGTTATGTATTATGGTCAAGGTGACAGCTACCTTATTTGGAGACTTCTTAAATAGGCACTAAAATTGATTGTTCTCTAGAATAAAAATTAAGGTGACAATCCTTCTCTAGTTTAACTTAACAACAAATAAGGTAAAACAAAATTTTAAAAACTCCACACATTCTATTCTTTAGAGACCTTTATGGAGAAGCATAGACAAAGAAAAACCTCTGATTTTTACTTTGAAGTAACAGAATAATATTAAGGATCACATGTGAGGCTGGATTTATTAATTTTGTATTTATTACTAAAAAGGTCTGAGAAATGAAACCACCCTAATGAGATGAATATAGTTTTCAAACGAATATCTGAAAATATTCGTTTGAATATTTCCATGAGGAGTGTCTCCAGTGATGGTATGAGCATCAGAAGAATCACATGCACTCCTCTACATCTGATCAGTATTTCCCCCCCTCCCTGCAACACAAGCCCTCACCAGTATAACAGTGTGCCTTCTGGATTCAGTATCAGTTAACTCTGCATGAGGGAGCATAAAGCAACAGCATGCGTAGAGGAAGAAGGCACTGGATTAATCAGAAGACACATTTACATGTAAGACATAAGTGTAAAACTGTACACGAGCTTCTGGCTTTTTCTGTGTTGTGTTTGCGAAAATACATTATGAAGCTGTTCATACAAAGTAGCTAGATCACTAAATTACCATTTCAGGTTTGATTCTATAGCTATGGATTACCAATCTCTGATTCTTTAGGCCCTGGAATCATCTCCCGTAGGAGTGACAACATAGGAAAATGTCTTTCAAAGTTTTCTATGAGGAACAAAACTCAACATTATATTTGAGAATGAAAAGAGTATGCACTGACATATTTTATTTTACAAAAAACATTTTTTTAGTCTTTAAATTTACCAAGATATTTTCCTCTGGAAAATAATATCCCAGTTAAAATTAATGTCCTCATTTGGATTTGATTTACCAACAAAACATAATATTCAGTAATCTTGAAAAGAAAATTAGTTATTACTATTCCTCTTGTCTTTCTGTAGAAAGCAACTCAAACGTAAGCACTTCTTGGAAGAAGACTGTAATAGCCCAAGACATCTGACATAAGAATGGGAAAAACAAGGTGGGCAGGGAGAAAAGTGCAACAATGAATGAATGGAAATCCAAAATCTCTATAAATGTTCATTAAAATTAATTAAAGGAAAAAATCGGAAAAACAGAAAGGATAATTAAAAGTTTCAAAAATTAAAAAAACTAAAAAATTCAGACTCCTTTAAAACAGCTCTGGTGGCCTAGTGGTAAAAAGCTGTGTGCTGTAATGCTAAAGTCACAGAGTTCACATCCTCCAGCTGATCCGTGGGAGAGAGATAGGCAATCTCCTTCTGTTTGATTTATAGCCTCTGAAAACCTGCTAGAGGGTCACAATGGCACCTGACACCACAATCAAGGGGGATGAGATCACCCCAGACCGTGTACTCCGTGATGCTAGTGCATGATGTTGAGGCTGACAAGATTGTAAGATGTGGGCTTAATCTGAAGTGGAAGACGTAACAGAATCCTCTGGAGCAGAGTCACAAATGATTCAATGAGCTCTTTGCTATAGCTAGAACAGGAGTTACTCTACCAACTGTTGACCTTCATACTTGCTTAGACACTTGAGAACTGAGAACCATAATACTAAAATCACTTCTGGATTTATCTAGCCATGAGACTGTGGACACAACTCCTTAAACGACAACGAAATCATTTACAATGACAGACTGTCTCATTCTATCCTGTTATTTGATGCTGGGCAAGAGCTTCAGTGATTTGTTGATACAGAAGTGTACTTACTAAACAAGTATGGATCGGACTGGAGGGGAATGAGATGCTGGCACCAGACATTTCCCTAATTATACAAAACTGCCTATTCCAAGAAAAGATAGACTTAACCTTAGTTGATTATCAGTTGACGAAGGAACAGCTCTCATGGCTTGTTGAGTATGAGATCAATGGTGCCTTGGCTAAGTAACCAATAAAGACAAGGACATTGGATAAGGATGCAACAAGGGTTGAAAAATGTCTTCAGAGATAAACTGACTGTGACAGAAACTACAACTCAGCAATCTGCAGGCCAGCCTCACCAAGCACCTGAGTGCACTGATGACCCAATCTGGAAATCCAAAATGACAACAGAAGACATTAAAAAAGAGGGAAAAAACCCAGTCAAGGAATTCTTAAATACTGTAATGACAACATTGTTTTTGGCTCCAAATTTTAACTAGCTTTATAAGAATTGATTTGGCCTGCTCAATCACAGGCTTCATAGTTTAATACTTTTCCTCAGTTTGGGAAAGATGATTCTGTGTTGACTGCTTGAAGAATTAATTACAGCCCTTTAGAAAGCAAGTGAACGTAATAAAATAAATGAGATAAAATGTCTGAATGGGTCAATTCAAATAGATAACATAGATATTTCTTCAAAATAATTCTTTAAAGATATAAATTTTAGCAGTAAAGAATACTTTTAAGCTCTTTCCTTAATAATGCATTCTCCTTAGGGGAGATTTTTCTACCTTCAATATAACTTCAAAGATATTTCACTCCCATGAAGTGTTAAAAATCAGTATAATTATTGTCAGTTCTTACCAAATTCTATTAAGAATTTTATAAAAAACAAAAGAAAAAAGACATTAAATGAGACAACAAATCAGAAACTAGGAGGCTTTTAAAAATCCTACCCATCATAAAGAGTGAATGAAGGGAAGTCTGATTAAGCAGGAAAACAGGTGAAGAACACTCCTTTGTTACTCTGTCAGTGTTACCAGATGCAGAACTGTAATTTAGCTTACCAGTGGCACAGTGGCTGTGTGGTAATTGAAAAGTTAGTGAGAAAGATGGGATCATCGGTTTTCCTAAAGACCGCTGCTGCTAGTTGCCATCAAGTTGCTGATGACTCAAAGCAAGCTTAGGAACATTATCCGAACCTTGCCTTACTCTGTACCATCATCAAGATCTCTGCCATGCTGGGAGCCCATTTCTTGTATTTACTGCGTCTAAAGATTATGGCCTGGGACACCCTGAAGGGCAGTTCTGTCCTGTCCTACTACTGGGTTGCTCTCAGTCGGAACTGTCTTGGAAGCAACAGGTTTATTTCCATCTAGAAAATTCTCCTATTTTGAATTATAGCCATAAGAGAAATATTATACTATAATGGAAAAGAGAAAATGATAAATAATGTAGTCAGTAAACAAAAAAGGTAATTTAGCCAAACTCAACATATGTATAAAAAAAGGGAAAAAAGAAACTCTTTGGGGGAAAAACATTTCTAGCATCTCTAACCGATGGTCTCAATTTCGAAAAGCCCTTAGAAGACTGTTTTTTTAAAGATTCAGTATAAAAACCTAATTAATAGGTAACTGTGAAAGAAAAAAATAAAGCAGAAAGGCAAAGTTTAAAAGCTTTCCACTCTAGGGCCTAAATTTGTCATTCATAATGAATTATTTGAAGACACCCATCTCTCGTCCCAAAAACAAACAAAAAATCTAAGAAACCCAAAATTTAAGTTATTTTTTATAAAAATTTAAACACTGCCTTTTTCTCATTCATTCTTCAAAATGCCAGTTTCTTGCTTGTTATCTGCTTGCTTCTATGAAATTGCATGGTAAGATTTCTGCAAATGCTTCATTTTAGATGCTTAATGTTAATAGATTCCAGGCCTTAAAGCTGAAGGAAGCAAACCTGATTTGCACCACTCATAAGTTTCTGTGATTTATAATCGCACAGAAGAAGTCTCCCAATCAAAATGGGGTCATATCTGCTGAGCAGGCACTACTGAGCAACATTGTTCAGGCTGCTGGTTGAACCAGTTATTCCATTTTCACTTTTCTGAAGTGTTCTCACAGCACTTGGAACTTGCATCCCAGTACTCAAAGAAAGTCCACCGCACCAAACCTAAGGCAACACAAAGACAGAGCTTCATCAGATTTCAAAGTAAATTAAAACCTCAAGGATACTTTAAATTGTTCATTTGAAAGAAAATTTTAAAATGTCACATTATGAATGCTCTAAACTGATTTGAGCTAGGAAATATGAAGAGAAACAAAAAAGCTAATAACCCAGATTCTTTAAGAATCACAAAGACAGAAGCAGTCTTTGGTATTATTGTTAGGTGCCATAGAGTCCAATGCCACTCACTGAAACCCTATGAACAACAGACCTGAATCCTATCCTATCCTGTCCCACCCTCATCACTTCAGATACACTTGAGCCCACTGCTGCAGTCATCATGTCAACCCACATGCTTGGGGGTCTTGTGCCCTTTTCACTGAAATTACCTAGCCAAACATGGTACCTTCTTCCAAAGAATGGCCTCTCTTAGCAATATCCCCAAAATATCTGAGCTGAAGACTCGCCATCTTTGCCTCTATGGAGCACTCTGGCTGTACTTTTTCCTGGGATTTATCTGTTTGGTTTTTCTGGCAATTCATGACATATTCAGTGGTCTTCTCCAGCACCAAAATTCAAAGACATCAATTCTTCGTCTGTCGTCCTAATTAAATATTCTGCTCTCAGATGCATAGCAAGTGATCAAAAAGAACATGGTGTGAATTAGACACACATTGGTCTTCAAAGTGACACCACTGCTCTTCAGAATTTTGAGACATCTCTGACAGAGGACTTGCCGAAAGCAATGAATCTTCTGATTTCCTGCTTGTTGGTACCAAGAATGTTGACGGAGGATCAAGAAATCACTGAAAGTTTTAATCCTTTCACCATCTACCATGATGGTGCATATCTGTCCCAGTGGGGCAAGGACCTTTCTTTCCTTGATGTTGAGATACAATCCATATTGAAGGCAGCAGTCCTTGATCTTCTGCAGCAAACATTTCAAGTGTGAAAACTTACGGTCAAGCAAAAATCTGCAAGTGAATGTTTATATTGTTTTGTTGAGTTCCGTAGAGTTGGAACTGACCCATTGCTGACCCACTTGAGGGGTTTCAGAGGCAGTTAACTTCATGGGAGGAGACTATCATCCTTCTCCTGTGAAGTGGCTAGTGGTCTTTAACTGCGTGCCTTCAGGACTGCACTGTAGCTTCTTGCCATTAGGCCACCATGGTTCCTCAGTCAATGTTTATTGTAACTTTATTAGTAATTAACCAGCAAATGGAAACAACTCAAATGTCCTTCAGCTGGTGAATGGATGAATAAACTGGGTACATGCATATAACAGAATACTGTTTTATATGATACTGATCTCTACGAAGCAGTTGGTGGGTTCAAATTAGCAGTGCTTTAATTAGCAACTGGGAATTAAACATTGTGTTGTTGTTGTTATGTGCCGTCAAGTCACTGAGACTCATAGTGACCCTATGCATAAGAGCCCTAAACCCTGCTCTATCCTGTCCCAACTTCATTGTTTCCGACACACCTACTCCCGCTACCTCAATCAATTAATCAATCCATCTCATCAAGGGTCTTCTCTCCTGAACTGTCCATTCACCCTCCCAAACATAATGTCCTTCTCCAAGGACTGGTTCCTCTTTGCAACATGCCCAAAGTATGTCAGACGAAGCTTCAGAATCCTTGCCTCCAAGGAGCAGCCCAGTTTCACCTTCTCCAGGACAAACCTGTTCATTCTTCTAGCAGCCCATGGTATATTCAACACTCTTCTCCTGCACCACAGCTCAAAGGCATCAATTCTCTTTCTATCATCTCTAGTCACTGTCCAGCTCTCCAATGCATAGCATGCAACTGCGAAGACTATACCCTGGATCAGGCGCACCTTAGTTTCAAGCCTGATGTTGTTGCTCTTCAGTATTCTGGAGAGGTCCCTGGCAGCTGAATTTCCCAATGCAATTCATCTCTTGATTTCCTGGCTGCTGGTACCAAGAGTGTTGACTGCAGAGCTAAGCAAACTAAAACTGTTAACTATCTCAATCTCTTCACCATTCATAATGATGCTGCCAATTGGCCCAGTGGTGAGAATCTCTGTTTTCTTGATGTTGAGCTTCAATCCATATTGAAGACAGCAGTCCTTGACCTTCTGCAACAAGCGCTTCAGAGGTCCTCATCAGTTTCAGCAAGCAGGGTTGTGTCAACTGCATAACGCAGGTTGTTGATGATTCTTCCACCAATCCTGATGCCACATTCCTCCTCATATAGCCCAACGTCCCGGATGATCTGTTCTGCATACAGGTTGAAAAAGTGTGGAGACAGAACAGGCCTTCCAAAACCCTAAGTACAATAGAGCACACTTAGACTAGCACTTAGACTAGCAGACATGGCAACTGAGACTGAGATCTCAGATATGGAAACACAAAGAAGGAGGAACAGCTGTAAGCAGACACTAGTGACTGGAATTAAACATTACTCAGTAATAAAACAGACTATTTGATACAAACAACATGGATGAATTTAAAAAAAGTATATACTCCAAAAGAAAGCATTTTTATGTCTTACCATCTAATTTAATAAAATATAGTTTATCACAGATTTGGATAAAACAGATTAAGAAAATGGAGAGGAATATAAAGAAAAAAATAAGTTACTCTGCTCTCCTAAATAAACACCATAGATTATTCTTATTAAAGTTCTCAAACCAAAAGAAATGTAAAATTGGTACCAACCATGAAACCTGGAAGCACTGGTTGAGTAAATTTTGTCTTAAAGGAATACAATAATTGTTTTGAGTTTGCATCATAGAAAGAGAGTTGACCTAAAAGAAAGAAAAAAGGACTGATTATAGAAAAATGACATTTAATGATGACAAAGATATAATCATGGACAAAAGTAACAGCTAAATGCAATATTGTTATAATTTTTTGTTACAAATTATAAAGATTAAACTAAAAACTTTCACCTCATAATCAGTAATAAGTAAGCTTTAGGAGCTAAGAATGAAGACAAAGAAAAGAAAAAAGGTGAGCTTTAAGAAGTTCAAATTCATTAAAAAATCTTAGGAGATTCAGTTCAGTAAAAAGTAAAAAAAAAAAAATCTTATGAGGAGTTCTGCTCTGTCCAATAGGGTTGATCTGAGTAAAAATTGACTCAATGACCCAGAGTTTTAAACATTCACCATCTCAACTTCCAGAGAAACAGGAGGATGGTGGGGGACAATGGTAGGTAAAATAATAAACAATTAAGAAAAACATAATTAGAAAGCTAAATCTTTAGACTAAATATGATGCAATTTGTATATTCTTAGTGAAAGGAAAAATTTGGGAAGAGGTAAAGATCTTATGGGAAGATCTTAAAGTGATTTTGAGCAGAGCGAATAAGTGTATTTATTCTGTATACTAAACAAACGGCTAACTTATGAAAGGAAATTTGTAGAGATGAAAGAAGGGCCTGGAAAAAGTATCTACATTTTCTATAGGAGGAAAAGGGAAAAGCAGAAGATATCCTCAAGTTCTGTCTATGAACCAAGGAAACAGTTTCAACTGAAGACTTTCAAAATGAGAGAGAACAGTTAACAGGACGCTAGTAGGCTGGACAACTAAGAGTTATTTTAGTAGCATGATCCTTTTGAAAGATAGGCTGTTAGGAGATATTAAACACTAGTAAAATTTAAGGAGTGATGACTGATTTCAAATAATACTCAAGTAGTTAGAAGTAGTTAAACATGGTTTAATAAAATAAGTCTTACGTTGTGGTAGGATTTGGGTAAATGTTGTTGTTGTTGTTATGTGCCATCGAGTCGCTTGTGATTCATAGCGACCCTATGCACAAGAGCTCTAAATGCTGTTCTATCCTGTGCCAACCTAGCCATCTCAAACGCACTTATTCCCACCGCTCCAGTCACAGAATCGATCCATCTCACCAAAGGTCTTCCTCTCCTTTGCTTCCCCTCCACTCTGCCAAACATGATGTCCCTTTCCAAGGACCAGTCCCTTCTTGCAACATGCCCAAAATATGTCAGATGAAGCTTCAGGATTCTTGACTCCAGGGAACACTCTGGCTTCACCCTCTCCAGGACAAACCTGTTTGTTTTCCTAACAGTCCATGGTATATTCAACACTCTTCTCCAGCACCACAGCTCAAAGGCATCAATCCTCTTTCTATCAGCCCTATTCACTATCCAACTCTCTGATGCATAGCACATAACTGCGAAGACTATAGCCCGGATCAGGCGCACCTTAGTCTCCAGCCTGACATTGTTGATCTTCAGTACTCTTGAGAGGTCCCTCACAGCCGACTTTCTCAATACAATTCGTCTCCTGATTTCCTGGCTGCTGTTACCAAGAACGCTGACTGTGGAGCCAAGTAAATTAAAACTGTTAACTATCTCAATCTCCTCACCATCCATGCTGATGCTGCCAATTGGCCCAGTGGTTAGAATCTTCGTTTGCTATTAGGTGCTGTTGAGTCCAATTCCACTTATTGTCACTACATATAACGGATTAAAGCAGTGCCTGGAAGTGCACCACGCACAGTTTTGCAGCCACTGTATCCATCTCATTAAGTGTCACTGTCTTTTATTTCTGACCCTCTGCTTGATTAAAGATGATGCTCTTGTCTAGGGGCTGGCTTCTCCTAATACAGTGCATGTAAGATGAAGTCTTACCATCACTGCTTCTAAGTCACATTCTGGCTGTTGGGCCTCATTTTGAGTCATGACACATCATTTCATTGGCTGAAATGGTTTTAATTTACCTACATCATTAAGACAGATTCTACTTTGAGGAAGCAGCTTGTCCTCAGCTGTATTCCGAGACTTCCAACCTGAGGGTTTCACATTCCAGCACGGATCACAGTATACTCTGCTGCTATCCAGAGGGCTTCAAAAGGCCATCATCTCAGAAATGGATGGCTAATCCTGTTTTCTAGTCTGTCTTAGTATGGAAGTTCTGCTGACTGTCCACCACTGGTGCCTTGACTGGTAAGTGACATACTGGCGGCACAGCTTCAAGCATCAAAACAAAACTGATAGACAGGTGGCATCATCTTTACAGTTTTCTAAAACTTGCAGAAACCTCTTCCCCATAAGTAATATATAAAAGTCTGTCTACTAAACTTATTTAAAAGCTACTCATGAGATGCCAGCTTTATTTTATTTAACTTTCCTTCTTATAGCCTCTGCTTTAACTTAATTTCTCTTGAATCTCTAAGGAATCACAGAATAGCATGGACAGAAGAAAAAAAAGAAGAGCATTTTGGTAATAAAGAAAAAGGCAAAAGTACATACTAATACATCTGTCATTTTCCTTGGAGAAAATTCATTTTAACTGATTCAAGGTAAAAAAAAGAATGCCACAAAACTGGTATGTCATTGCCTATAAAGAAATCAGACAAAATTTCCTTTTTTGGTTTGAGTAGTAAGCTGATACCACAAGAATTATCAGGCTATAATGTAACTTACTTAAAATACTAAATTTTGGCTTAAAAGACAGATTTGAACAAAGGTTCATAACAGTAGCCTTGGCTACGGTCATTTTTACTGTTTATTAGCCTTAAAAATTAACCTGGAAAGAAGCATAAAGGGAATTACTTTTTTCCCTTTATTTCATTACTATACCATCTTCAAAGAGTGAGCCATTATATAGGTGACAGCAGAGAAGACACTTGTTAAATAACATCAAATGACCTAAAAACTTAAGACATTTTTCAGAAGATAAATATTAATTTTTAGATCATTAAAACCACTTTGAAAAGAAGAGGGAGTTTGGCCAAATTCATTAAGATGAAACTTTATATATATATATATGTGACATTCTTGACAACAAAATTAATCTGATAGTACCTAACATAAGAGGAAATAAAATAATCTGACAGAAGTCCACAGAGAAAGATCTAATGAATCAGACAGCTACAAGTTCAATATAGGTCTATAGTGCCCTAAGTCATATTTCTAAAAACAGCATTGCCAGATCACTATGCTGATTAGATGTTATGTGCTCTACTTTAAGAAGCAGTCTTACGAAACACACTGGCAAATAGTATGCAACCATTAAAGGCTTATAAATAAGGATTTGCAGTTGTATGAAGAGAAAGGCAACATATGATTTGATAAAGCATTATAATTAATGACATTAATCAACTATAATGTTATAAAATAAAGTGTGTATGAATGAGTGAACGATTGAAAACCAGTGTGGTTTGTAAACTTTCACTCAAATTTTAAAAAAAGAGCTTATAAGAATGTGGAAAAATTACAAGAGGGAAAATTAATAGAACTGAGACGGAATGTTAACAATTTTTAAACAGAGAAGGGCGTCCATGTAAATGGAGAATGTTTCTTTAGGTGGCAAATTTAAAAGCATTAAGTTCAGAAGTTGTAGAAAGACAAACTGCATCAACTTAAGAAAAATCTCCTAAACCAATACCTATCTAGCAACAAGTCAGGTTTCCTGCCAAGACAAGCTTCACATACAAGGGTAAAACATGTTCAAGTATAGGAGGAATCTACGCTTTGTGGCAGATGGACTATATAATCTCTTAGGTCTTCTCTAAAAAAAAAAATCTGATTCCACTACTCTTTACAGACTAGGCTACTCTCTTTAAAATTAGCATTTCAGCTCTTTTTCATGGCACCACTGGGGCAATCAGCTGCTCCAACATGAAGCTAAAGTCTTCTTCTCTGCCACTGGCTGCCAAAAACTTCATACATTTTTATGAGAAGCGAATGACCACAGAAGTTGCTGTAGACTCTCCGGGTGATGAGTGGAATGGGTATGTTGTGTGAATCAGTGCAGAAACAACAAGGTTTTCCCACGAAGCAGCGAGTCTTGACCCAAGGCCAAGTTTGCCTCCTGCTGAGTAAGGGGCATTCCTGTTACAGACCACAGAGAACTGGAGTTAGGAAGCACCTCTCTGATCAGGGTTACATTGTGGATGCTAATGTGAGTGTTCTCAACTTGGTTATTGTCAATAAAGGGGAGAAGGATATCCCAGAACTGACTGTGCCTCATCACCTGGGGCCCAAAAGGGCCAGCAGAATTTGCAAACTCATCAGTCTCTCTAAGGAAGATGATATCCGTTACTATTCTGTGAGAAAGCCACAGAACAAATAAAGCCAGAAACCTAGGACCAAAGCGCCCAAGACTCAGCGTCTTGTTCCTCCATGTGTCCTGCAGCACAAATGCTGGCAAATTTCTCTGAAGAAACTGCGCACTAAGAAGAATAAGGAGGAGGCTGCAGAGCACGCTAAGCTTCTGGCCAAGAGAAGTAAGGAGGCCAGAGAAATATGTCAGGAGCAGATCGCCAAGAGACAGAGGCTGTCCTCTTCGAGAGCTTCTACCTCCAAGTCTGAATCCAGTCACAAAGAAAATTTGCTGTGAGTGACAAAGAAATAAGCTCACATATTAAAATTCCAAAAAGAAAATAAAATTAGCCTCCTTGCTGAAACTGAAGAGGACCTAAAGCGCCTGCTGCAGAGAGTCAAGGACTGCAGCCTACAATATGGATTGAGGGTCAATGTCAAGAAGACAAAGATTCTCACCACTGGACCAATTGGCAGCATCAGGATGGATGGTGAAGAGATTGAGATTGTACACAGCTTTAGTTTGCTTGGCTCCACAGTCAACAGTCTTGGCACCAGCAGCCAGGAAATTAAAAGGCTCATTGCCATGGGAAAGTCTGCTGTTAGGGACCTCTCCAAAGTACTGAAAAGCAATGGTGTCCCTCTGGAGACTAAGGTGCGTCTGATACAGGCCATGGTCTTCGAAATCACTTGTTATGCATCAGAGAGTTGGACAATGAACAAGGAGGATAGAAGGAGAATTGATGCCTTTGAGCTGTGGTGCTGGAGAAGAGTATTGAGAATACCATGGACTGCTAGGAAAAAAAACAGATTTGTCCTGGAAAGGATTAAACTGGGTGGCTCCTTGGAGGCAAGGATTCTGAGGCTCCATCTAACATACTTTGGACATGTTGTGAGGAGAGACCAGTCCTTGGAGAAGGACATAATGCTTGGGAGTTTGGAGGGACAGCGCAGGAGAGGAAGGCCCTCTATGAGGTGGATTGATTCAGTGACTGGGATAATTGGGATGGGAGTGTCAGAGACAGTGCGATTGGCACAAGACAGAGCAGAGTTTAGGGCTGTTGTACATAGGGCCGCTATGAGTCGCAAGCGACTTGACGGCACATAACAACAACAACATTCAGATTGACTTACTTCATTTTAGATTTACTTTGTATATGATAGAAGAATGCTTTTTCAGCCACCAAGCAGTCACTGTACACTCTGTCAGTTCTGGGATTTGTTTGTAATTAAATCTTAGCTAGTCAAATAGTTCCTAGCACAGCATTTACAGAATTTCTGTGGAGATGATTAGCAATGAAAAGTGCTGAAATGCAAACAACAATGATCAAATATTACTCTGAAGAGAAAATAAACTTACCTCCATCAAAATCACAAAATACACCTATTTTCTCAGGAACAGCAACATCCAAGGCTTTCACTTTATTATTATGCTTTGCTGCAAATGTGTTCTGTAGCCAGTTGTTGACATGGATACACCAACTAGTGTTCGTCTTTCCTAACTGGTCAAATTTCCCCAGAGTTTTATAAGCTACTCCCACACTGTAGGATTTACAATCCTTCTGGGCCTTGACCTCCCAATAGTGCTGTCCATTTTCAATAGCAGTGTCTCCTACAAAAGACCAGGGAGGTAACATTATGCTTTAATTCAATACAATGTCATCTTCCAAGTAAAACCTCTTATTCTAAAAAAAAAAAAATCCACTGCAGTCATACCGGCTGAACTGATTTCAATTCATCCTGACCTGGGAGTAAAGAGCAGAACTGTCTAGTGGGCATCTAAAGGTTTAATCTTTGCAGAAGTTAACTGCTACATCTTCTTCCCGTGGAGAGGCTGGTGGGTTTAAACTGCCAACCTGTCCATTAGCAGGTAAGGGCTTACCACTTTTTAAACTGATGCTGTGTTGTTTACCGTCAAGTTGGAACCAGCTGACCATCTGCCGGCTTTTCAGAGGCAGTTATTAGCACGGGAGGAGAGTGCCCATCCTTCTCCCATAAAGCAGCTTGTGGATTTGAAGTGAAGGCCTTCAGGATTGCAGAGCAGCTTCTTTCCACTAGGCCAGCAGAGCTTCTAGAGCTCTTTAAAATGCCTTACTAATCACATCGATTTTAAACCTATTGACTGTGCCATAGAATAGCATAAAAAGTTGATTTATGTACTCTTTCTACGAGAATAAACATAAATGCACAGGGCTTACTGTAATTTTACCTTTGTATTTATTATTATTTTTTTACTATGGAATCTTTCAGCCCTTTCTTTCTCAAAGTATATATACACAGAGCACTGTGCATAAAGCTGGAAGAAAATATTTTAAAAAATTAGCAATAATAAAATCTAAAAACTTCCCTAAGTAATTAGACTTTGACAGGGATAAACTTCTGCAGAGATTTTTTTCAATATTTAGGCAGCCACTCCAGTAGAAATAACACGGGGGTGACCGTGAAAAGTTTGGTCTGAGAAAATGCAGAACTGCCATGTGTCACCATACCCAGCACTGTGTATGATTCCCCAGTAAAACGATCTCTGCTGCCTCTTATTGCTGGGGGTCTGGAGCCCACTGATGTCCGTTTAGGGGATGGCGTACCACTTCTATAGAAACAGGAAAAAGAAGAAAAACAAAGAGTCTGTGCAATGTTTTCTACATTAAAATTACAAATCATGAGAAGAATCATTACAAAGTTTTCATTTTCTTTGATCTAAATTATTATTAAAGAGTGGTTAGTTATTAATACTCAAATGCAAGAACCCATTAACAACAAAGCAGGCTAGAAGCACTGAGGTCAGGCACATGGAGTAAGGTTTGTACAAAGAACAGAAGAGTTCAAGTAAACAATGAGGACAAAAGAGCCAAGACATGACTTTAGGAAGGTGAAAAAAACAAACAAACCCCAAATACCACAAAACCATGTTAAAAAAGAAAATAAGAGCAAAGGCAAAAACAGGCTCCTTCTTATTAGAATTACAGCTAAATAATTATTTTCAAAAGCAGTAGGACTTTGGCTATGGATCTTTTCTTCTTAAAAAGAAAAATGGTCACTTTACTAATCCATGCACAAGATAACGTCAAGTGTTAGAAATTACTTTTCCTCCTATATGGTCTAAGCTTACACTTCTTCCATCAAATTATGTAAGCTATAGTGCAGTGATAATCTACTTAAGATTATTCAAAAACGACTGGAACAGCACATCCACAGAGAACTGTCAGAAGTCCAGGATGGGTTTAGAGGGGGTCGTGGTACTAGGGATATTGTAGCTAATGTTAAATGGATCTTGGCTGAAAGCAGAGAATACCAGAGGAATGTGTATCAGTGTTTCATTGATTAAGCAAAGGCGTTTGACTGTGTGGATCGTAACAAACTGTGGCTGACTCTGAGAAGAATGGGAATCCCAGAACGCTTGATTGTGCTAATGCGAAACCTATACTTGGACCAGGAGGCTGTCATTAGAACAGAGCAAGGAGACACTACATGGTTCAAAATTGGGAAGGACGTACGCCAGGGATGCGTCCTATCTCCATACCTTTTCAATCTATATGCAGAGCAGATTATCCAGGAGGCTGGGTTCTATGAGGAGAAATGTGGGGTCAGGATTGATGGAAGATTCATCAACAATCTGCGTTACGTAGATGACACAACCCTGCTTGCTGAAACTGAGGAGGACCTGAAGCGCTTGCTGCAGAGGGTCAAGGATTGCAGCCTCCAATATGGATTGAGGGTCAATGTCAAGAAGATAAAGATTGTCACCACTGGACAAACTGGCAGCATCAGGATGGATGGTGAAGAGATTGATTGTTCACAGCTTTAGTTTGCTTGGCTCCACAGTCAACACTCTCGGCCCCAGTAACCAGGAAATTAAAAGACGTATTGCCATGGGAAAGTCTACTGTTAGGGACCTCTCCAAAGTACTGAAAAGCAATGGTGTCTCTCTGGAGACTAAGGTGCATCTGATACAGGCCATGGTCTTTGCTATCACTTTTTATGCATCAGAGAGTTGGACAATGACTAAGGAGGATAGAAGGAGAATTGATGCCTTTGAGCTGTAATGCTGAAGAAGAGTATTGAGGGTACCATGGACTGCTAGGAAAACAGATTCATCCTGGAAAGGGTTAAACTGGGTGGCTCCTTGGAGGCAAGGATTCTGAGGTTCCGTCTAACATACTTTGGAAATGCTGTTAAGGAGGGACCGGTGCTTGGAGAGGGACATCATGCTTGGCAGGGTGGAGGGACAGTGCAGGAGGGGAAGACCCTCTATGAGGTGGACTGATTCAGTGACTGGGGTAATCGGGATGGGTGTGTCGGAGACAGTGTGATTGGCACAGGACGGTTGCTATGAGTCGCAAGTGACTTGACGGCACCTAACAACAACAACAACAACAACAACAACAACATAATGCAGAGAATATTTTTATTAACTCTCAAAGGCTTAAAACAGATCAAATTCCAAAAGATGTTTATAAAATAACATTCCAACTACATTTTATTTTAAAAACGGGAAAACATTTTTGTCAAGATTATCCTAAAATTCTTTCTTACTGGCAATGGAATACATTTCTATCTATATTCTCAAAATTAATTAGCAAGAAAGGAGCTTTTATAAAATGTAGTTTCAGTCTTTTTCCTTAGAAAAGGTCAACCTTGTAGACTTTAATGTTTGTCACTAATAGTAGAGAAGAAATCCCTGACAAGGGCAAGGGAAATATGGAGGTAGTTATAAAGGCATTTCACATAGCTCAGCACACTGCACTCTGTATTTTTAAACCTCTTGCTGTTAGAAAGCAGATTCACTAGTTTCCAATGAACTCAGGAACGCCAACTTCTTTTTAAGTGGAATGATCTTAAGTACATTAAAAATGGTATTAAGTTTATAGCTTATGATTCATAGCTGACCCTCCAGCAGGTTTTTGGAGGCTGTAAAGTGCACAGCAGGAGACTTCCCATCTGCCTCCAGCGGGTGGATTCAAACCACCTGACTTGACTTTTGGTTGACATCACAGCTCTTCACCCATTAGGTCACTAGAGCTCAATAGTCCCAGAATTAGTTTTTCACAAAATTAAAAACTTTAAACTTTTAAGTGTTACTCAAATTAAAAATAGTAAAGGCAGCTCTATTTTCATCCTCTTGTTGAGACAAAGTGTTTTGAAACCAGTTTCACATTTTAAACCATGTTCCAGACACTGAGAGACTCCACAAACGCCAGTTTGCTGCAGGCCTTGGGGAGGGGAGGGGAGCAGCCTGTAACCAGCTGCACCTCTCTTCTGAGAAGGGGTTCTGGAAACTATCGTTTGAAGAAACCATTTTGTTGTTCTTAAAAAAAAATTGTGAAAACTGTTCTACATGCAACGATGAAAAGACATGGAAAGTCAGAAAAATCAAAGTTCTTCTTACAAGGTTATGAAATTTAACTAAAAGATTTTTATGTCTCCAGAACTCGAGTTGAAACCGACTCATAGCTGACCCTCCAGGGGGTTTTCAGAGGCAGTTAACTGCACAGGAGGAGACTGCCCATCCTTCTCCCACAGAGCAAGCTGGTGGCCTCGCCTGCCTTCGGGATTGCAGCGGAGTTTCCTGCCACTAGGCCACTAGAGCTCCCTTACAAAATTATTTTTGTAATTATTAAAAAATTATTAAAATTATTACAAAATTATTCTCTAAAAGGTAATTTAAAACTGATCATCTGGAATGTAAATACACTCTGTCCTGGAAACAACTAGGGAGCACAGCTCACCAAAGTTGAAGAAGTATTACTGCTTATTAGTAAAAATACTTTAGATTAATCTTGAATGTATGCAATTTGGTAATTAGCTTTTTAACTAGGGAAGGAAAATGGGAAATTAGCCCTTCACTATCATTTCATTTCAAATCCCAAAGCCTTTTAGTATTGCTAATACTAGCCTTACTGTTGTAATGGTTGTAATTGCTTGATAATTAACACAAAACAAACAAAAGGTGCAACAATCAAACAAAAGGGGACCAGAGGTTGAAGCAGATCAATGATTATGGGTGAAAACAGAATTACAATAGGTCACAAAAGAGGAATCTTAGTGGGGTAAACCAATGGTCCCCCAGTCTGGCTGCACATCTCAATCATTTGCTCAACTCTGAAAGCTACAAATTACTACCAGCATTCGACTCTGACTACTAGAGGGTGATTTCACACCTAGACGGACTAGGGAGCCACTGAAGTGAAAACAAATTCTTCTAGCAAAGGGAACAGTTAATTGGTGATTTAAAAAAAGACAGATCTCACCATCTGTGAAATGGCATCCTATATACCTGGTTGCTACAGCATGTGAAGAACCTGGCGGCAGGGCAGCTGAGGGGAAGGATACAACTGCTAGCAGGAACCACAACCCTCTCCTGTCTGAATCCTCAGGACTGAGCAGATGTGCAACACTGAACAAAATGATTCATAAGCCCAACTAATAGAATCTGTGCTCTTATATATTACATAAGTACCCAGACCTTCCTGAACCATCATTCTAAATTAGACAAACACAGCATTTAGGATTTTGTAATAAATCAGTGTTGTCAACTGAGAAAGTCAACAAGATTTGAGAGTTAATTGGGAAATGTTTTCTAAATACAAAGATTCAGCTCCTTAGGTAGTAAGCTATGTCTGCTATGATGACCTATGCATTTGAAAAATATTCCCAGGGAATTCAGAGCCATGAGAAATAGGCAAGTAGGACAAAATCATGTGAACACAGAGTAAAGTTTTACCTAACAATGCTTCAAATATGCCGAGTTCTTCTGACAACTACAAAAGTATTTTTTTAAAGGAAAAAAATTGCAACTTACCATCAGCAAAGAAATAAAAGGAAAGCATGGGAAAAAGAAAAACAAGACATATGTAACTATTAAGAATGAGAGGTTAGTTCAAGAAAGAGTTCAGAGAACTCTTTGCTGTACCATTCAGCCTTCTGCCCCTCCATGTGTCTGTGCAAATGAACAGCTTTATGGTCTTATGTTACACGGGTTCCTCCATCTCCCTATGGATACTTTACTTATTCGAATGAAGGATTTTTTGCTACTTCTGGTTTTTACTGTTTCACCAACTTCTGAGTTCTCTACCATCCACTTCACCTTGTTCAGTGTTACTAGATAAAGCACTGTTCATCCCTCTAGTTAAAAAATCTTTGTCTATACTGTCTATAAACTATCTAATTTAGCATTTCAGAGTTGTTTTTTCAATCCTGTTCCAAGTTGTCTTTTCATAGTGCTACTATATATGCTATATAGCTAAACATACCAGCTTATTTTCACCCACTCACAGCTACCATGGAATTTCCAACTCAGAGTGACCCTTTATTGAGTGCCAGAGGCTATAAATCACTATGGAAGAAGGCCCATCTTTCTCCCTCAAGCGACGAGGAGACTCAAACTGCAAACCTTTTGGCTCCCAGCTGTATGCATAACAGCAGTCAAGTGTTCCGATACTGACTCAGTCTGCCTTTAGTGTTTGCCTTTTGGTTGCTGCCTCTCTTGCTCAAAGTTGAAACTCACACATTCTTCCACTTCCTGAAAATCAGTTCAAATGTTGCTGCTGCTGCTTCACATTCTTCCACTTCCTGAAGAATCAGGTCAAATACTATGCCCTTAATTTCAGATCCAACCAGGCTAAACAATTCTTCTAAGAAGTCTGGCTCCAGGCTAAGTTCCCCAGTGTAACCTTTCACATCCAAGCACAGGCAGTTACAAAGGCTGGTGCAGTCAGGGCACTGCACTCTGGAGGGCTGCAGAGGACTCAGGAGTCTATCCCCATGCCCAGTCCCTGCTTCGGCCCCAGGCTAGCCACACTCATAAGCAATCTTTGTCAAGGCACTTTGGCTCAGAAATCTCCTCATGGCTCAGTACTTTTCCACTCCTAAGTCTTTTAGCGCTTCCCCGCTAGTCTTTAAAATGGTAGGAGCCCTTTGTATGGCTCCCTCAGCAAAAAGTTACACCGTTTTTGTGCTGATCCACCTGATCCTCACCAGGCGCCATTCTAGGAGGGAAAAAAAGTAATACAACAACTATGGAGGAGTTAGCTCTTACAGCTTCTTTTGCATTATGTTCACAGTTTGTTGTTGTTATGTGCTGTTCAAAGTCCCTGTGACTCAAAGCAACCTTATGTAGAATCACTGTAACCCTGCCCTATCCTGAGCCAATCTTATCATCTCTAACAGACCTAATCCCATTTCTTCAGTCACTGATTCAATCCATCTCATCCAGGGTCTTCCTCCCCTGTGCTGTTTCTCCCCCCTTTCAAGCATAATGTCTTCTCTGAGGACTGGTCCCTCGTAACCCTGTGTGTGAGATAGCGCTTCAAAATCCTTGCCTCTGGGGAGCAAGTTGGTTTCACCCTCACGAATTTAAAAAAAAAGACTTGAATGCTACATTCAGTTTTGCTTGTTGTCCCAACTGACCACTGTAACACTTGGCAATTCCTACATTTTCCTTCCTCTGAATCCTTTTTACTTTCTTGTGTGCCATCGCGTCTCATCCGACTGGCACAGGAAGAGACTGCCCATCCTTCCTCAGCAGAGCCCTCTGAACTCTTTTTTTTTTAACTCTTATATTCACACCTACCATTAGATATTAAATCTGTGCTTTGCATCACTACAATTTGTGTGTATGTGTTGTTGTTGTAGTTTTTATGTTCCATCAAATTGGAACCAACTCATAGCTGACCCTCTAGCAGGTTTTTTCAGAGGCTGTGAATCGCATGGAAGGGAACTGCCCTCTTCCTTCCTTGGAGTGGCTGGTGGATTCCAACCATGCACCTTTGGTGTGGCAGTGCAGTTCTTTAACACCAGGCCCTCAGAGTATGTGTACATACGTATAATACATAAGCCAGAGCAAACTGTTTAAAGGCAGGCTGTGCATATCCCTGTAAACTCTGTAACATCTAGCCTAATATTCTACACTCAACAGACACATGTGGGAAGAGTAAATAAATGCATGTAACATTTCAGAAATGGCCTAAATGTGAAACATCCTGAAGAAGAAGAAAGGAAATAATATCACCTAAGACAGTCTAAAAATCATCAAGTTATAAAAATTATACAGGTGTTAGTAACCTGACAGCATTTCACAATTTACAGTACATTAACACAAGGGGGGGGGGGAATCTAAAAGAAGGTAATTTGAAAGGATACATATTTTTCTAATAGAGAAATATGGTGTCTTCAAATTAGCAGTTTTTAAGTTGTGCAGCTTTTAATGATTCATATTTCCAGCACTGACTTTTTAAAAAAATTTTTCTTTTATACTGGTTTGCTTACAACGTTCATATACTTTGTTTCTTAAACCAGATCTTTCCCATTTCCTTTACCCACCTCTCCCTCTACCCAAATTGTCCAACACTGTCTTAATAATTTAAGGACTGACCTTTATTTTTCATCCTGGATGCTTTTGAAACTTTAAGATATTATAAAATACAGAACACTTCAAATGTGCTTAGGTCAAACACAAATAAAAGCAAGTTATATTGTTAGATATACTGAGTATACAATAAGAAAAATGCCAGGTATGAGTAAATGCAGAAAAAACCAAGTATGGGAAAATACTTCAAGGAAGACTTGAAAGCAGAGCTTACTGTTTTGTTATCATAGGCAGTAAAAGCCAAATAACACATAGCACTAAAATGCTGTAAACATAAGCTATCAATACAGACGGTCTACAAAGAGCAGTATTTGAGCTTAGAATAGCTGCTGCAATGGCTCTGGCTTACTGTTTTTAAAAAACAAACAAAAAAAGTTATTCAGCCAAGCTAGATACACTAAGGCCTAGAACTAGACAGACACAGATCATCACCTGGTGTGTCTCCTCAGTGAAGTGACATGGGCACTGTCAGATAAAAATAGGGAACTGTTAAAAGACTACTTTATATTCTAAACTTAACAGGTTATAGCAAAATTAGATCAAAAGCCTATTGGGGAAACCATTTTGAGTCACTGTTGTTAACTCATAGTGACATTAACCTTGACTCTTTCTGTTTTGGCAAAAAATCCTTTTGTTGAAAAGTAAAGAGAAAGCTCTCAAACTCTGAAACTAACTAACTGAGTTCTAGCAATGCCAAAAGGTCATCAGGCCTGTTTCTTCTGCTCATAAAGCTGCCTGCTGATCAAGAGTAAAGCTTTGGGTTGGCATGCTCAAAGCTGTCATTCAGTGAAGACTTCTGACAAGAGAGGCCATCCAAAAATCTAAAATTAGCTAACGGTACTAGAAACTAGTGAAAGTAAGGGCAGGACTAGGAAAGGAAGAAAGAACAGTAATGACAGTGCTAATGATAAATTTCAAAACTGTTAAATGGCATATATTTCACAGTGGTATTTCTAACATATCCTAACTCATGTCGGTAAAAAGAGAAGGAGCTTCATTATAAATTTTCAAATAAGTAAGTGGCATCACAAGGGCATACAGGAGTAGCAGCAAGTGTTTCAGCAGAGGTATATTGGTTTTTTTATTAAAAAAAATTCCTGTATAGTGAACAAAAATGTCTAAGAAAGGCTCAGTTAATGTTCAACCAGAGCCATGACACTTCAGATCATGCCCTTTATCTGCATGTCCCACTACTGGCCCACACTATTGTTTGTGTCTGCATGTATCACTACAAGTATGCACTGTCATTTATGTCACTGCTAGTATTAAAACAAGCTTGGAAGGAGGGGTGGCATCCACTTCCATAATAGCTTGCCTACGGAAACCCTATGAACCTGGAGAGAGGATGAAAGGCACCCAAGTGTGGAGGACTCTCCTTCATAGGGTCTCTATGAGTCTCCTGCAACTCGAAAGCACTTAACAACAACACAACAACAGTATTTTTGAAGTCACTGATTTGGTCAAATTTTCTAGTGATAAAGTACAACATTGTGGTAACTAGTATTTGTGAACATATATCAATAAATTTTTAAAAATCCAAATAAAGGAAAAGAAGGAGAAAAAAATTAAAAAGGATTGTAACTAATAAAGTCATAATTAAATGTAGACAGGGTTTACAAAACAACTGTTATTAGCACTCATATAATCTAAGAAATATGAAACTTAAAACAATTTTAAACTATGCCACATATGACTTTCTGAGTACTAAGCAGGACAGGCAGCCACTTCCTAAACAGCATGTCTCTGGAAACTCTATGAACTTTGATAAATGATGACAGTCATAGAAAGGCTTCAGGCCTTTTGTTTACAGGGTCACTATGAGTCGTGCTTGACTTGATGGCAATCAACAACAACAACATCTATAACAGACCTTAGCAAGGATTCTATGATCTGGTGAAGGAGGCGGTCTCTAAGAGTGACATAACATCATGAGTAATGAAGGAGATGACAGCAGTCCTCACGGTGCCTCTGTAAAGAAGACCAGTGTACAAAGCATTGCCCAAATCACGGGTCTGATGAACTAGCTTACCTGCCCTTGTTCTCTTTTCCTTTCATTTTAGTTTCTTGACCTTTTCCTCCAGTAGGATCCCACTCTACACAGGTATCTTCAACTTTCAAGTTCAAATGGGATGAGGAGTTATCCAAACTGAAGTTAAGGGCTATTCAAGACAACATTTAAAATAGTTTTTCAGAAAACAGCACACCAAGAACAACAACAACAAAACACATCTCCACTTTCTGAAGTATAGCATTTATTATCACACAATTTTTCTACTTTATTGATTTAATACTGCATAAAGGTAAAAAAAAAGGCTGAAATTCAATTCCTAACATTTTAAGTCTTTTGTTAATAAGACTCTAATTTACCATGGCTATATTATCCTTTTTATATCCTCTGTATTCCAGCCAAAGGCCTTTACTTGGATGTCCATTAGTGTTTCTGCTAGAGCTTCAAAACGATTCAGTCATAGTCAATGAATGGAAACTAGAACAGACCAACCGGAAAAACTTAGGTGAACCAGAACTGTAAGCAGAACAGGAAAAACTGCAGGCGAAGCACTGGGAGACTTAGAATCCGTGTAGAGAGCCTTTTCAGGAGCCAGTAGTAGGAAACTTGATTATCGCCAGGACTACAGAGAGCTAGCTACCCACATTCAAAGTGGCGTGGTCAGCTGCCATCTCTGAGCCAGGCACCCTGTCACTGCCAGTTAAGAGATTTGATTGTGATGCACCATGCACAGTGCTTTTGTTTGGTTTCTAGCGAAACAAGGTTTGCTAACATAAAGCACAAGCTAATATAACAAGGTTTCTAGCAAAAACAATGGAACATGGAATAGTTTAAAATCAGGAAAGGTGTGCATCAAGGTTGTATCCTTTCCCCATACCTATTCAATCTCTATGCTGAGAAATTATTTGAGAAGATGGACTATATATAAAGAAAAATGTGACATCCAAGTTGGAAGATTCATCAACCTGCACTAATGGAGATGGCACAAGCTTGCTTGCACAAAGTGAAGAGAAATTAAGCATTTGCTGCAGAAGATCAAAGATTTCATTTTGCTTGGAAACACATTTAACACCCACAGTAGCAGCAAACAAAACATCAAAAGACATGTTGCATTGGGAAAACGTGCTGTTAAGAATGTCTTCCAAATACTAAAGAACAATGATGTCAATGTAAGATTGAGATGCACCTGATTCAAGCAATGGTTTTTTTTTCAGCTGTTTCGTATGCATTTGAAAGCTGGACAATGAATAAGGATGACAGAAGAATTGATGCCTTTGAGTATGGTGTTGGAGAAGAGTACTAAATGTTCATTTCATAGACTGTCAACAGAACAAACAAATTTGTTTTGGAGAAATACAACCAGGGTTCCCCTTAGAGGCAAGGATGGTGAAATGTCTCACAAAGTCAGGCATATTCTCAGGAGGGGCCAGTCCTTGGAAAAAGATATCATGCTGGGAAAGGTGGAAGGTAAATAAAAGAGAAGACAACTGTCAATGAGATGGAATGACACAGTGTTGGGGAATGTTGGGGAGGTAGGGAGGGCCTCTGGCCAGGACAGATTCCCTAAGCTCCAGATAAGTGCAAGCCTCCCAACAGCCTTTAATACGGGATAGAGAATGCTTCCCTGTGTGTGACTGTATAGGCTTGAGAAAGCTCACCACCTGGAAAGTTGGCTGCTTTATCTGTTGAGCATGAGGCTGAGGTTCTCCTATCCACTCCGCCTGTCCCATGTCTGTAAGCCCACCATATCCTGTCTTTCTGTTTACATGCTTGTATATAAGTGCACTGCAGTCCCCAATAAAATTGAGCTGGATTGATTCTCTGATCCTCTCCCAGAGTGATGTGTCTCCCTCGTGCTTACCCCCATCAGGGTGTCGCTGTTCAGTTGCCGGTGAACAGACAGTGACAACACATGGACAGTAACAATACAGTTGAACATAAGAGAGAGAATGAGGATGTTGCAGGGTGGGCTAAGGTTCAGATCTGCTGGTTATAAGATTGCTAAGAGTCATAGTTGACTCAATAACCTCTAACAACAACAACATCCACCCCAAATATGCTGAATTTTAACATCTGTATCTAATTCTTCTGTATATCAAGAAATACTGATTAACCTAGCATCTAGCAGTAGGCACACTAAATTGCATTGAGATTTTGAACTATGAACTGCCTTACAAAAACAGGGCTAACCTTTGTGTTGTTGTTATGTGCCGTCGAGTCGCTTGTGACGCATAGTGACCCTATGAACAACAGCCCTAAACTCTGCTCTTTCTCCACTACACCCATCCTGTTTACTCAGTCACCAAATCAATCCACCTCATAGAGGGCCTTCCCCTCCTGTGCTGTCCCTCCACCCTCTGTATTAGCTATCAGATAATACTAGGACGTCTGTGTATCTGAAAGGGAAAAAAATGGATTAATTTGTAAGATGTCATCAATTCTCAACTGTCATTTAAAATCTTAAATCTGTTCCTATTGTTAATAAGAAAAAAAAGCCAACAAGATCCTGGTGCTAACAGTGGAAAGAAAAGTTACCCCTTCCAAAATAATTGGCACTAGACCTATCAAACACTACAATACCTGAATGGAGAAAAATACAGGTTTCAAACCTAGGAATAAAATTTATTTTCATGGCTTTTTTTTTAAAAGGAGTTGTAGGGGGAGAGAAAAGATCTCTCTCCTATTTTTAAACTGAGGTCCCCATACCTCAGTTAAGTCACAGTAACACCATATAATAGAAGAAAAAAGTTTGACCTCAAAAGTGTAGGTCACAATTATTAGCCCTGGTTTTGATATAAGCTCTGTTATGTAGCTAGATATTAGTTTCCGTATCTTTAAGGTATGGATAATCAGAATATAGATATATTTCATGAGTTCAGTTTCTATTGGCAGCTGGTTTCTTTTGTAGTTAAAAATTTTTTTAGGTTAGATGAGTAACTTATGATTTATAACATTATTTACCTTTAAAAAGAAAGAAGGGATGCTACCTTAAAATTTCTGATCATAAGAACTTCCACTTCTCTTAACACTTTTGATGAAAATAATACCAAAAGTATTACACTGAATTTACATAAATTAACTATGTTTGCTATATTTTACACCAAGGAATAAATAGCAAGAATAGGACACTTGGTGGTTGTTGTTACATGCCAGGGGTTGAAAATGACTCACAGCCGACCCTCCAGCAGGTTTTCAGAGTCATACAGGAGGAGACTGCTACTCTTTCTCATGTGGAGCAGCTGCTGGATTCAGTCATAGGACTTAAGACTGGCAGTAGGTCAGCAGTTCATCTCCTTACCCACAAGGGCATAAGAGCTCTCTTCTGGTAGGTTTCTATTTGCTTAATTTCTCCTCATTCCCTTTGTTCAGTTATAGTTATATTTCTACTGACTGGTGGAAAGGCCTGCAGCAAACCAATTAATAATGTTTATTCAACTTGTCATTTTTCTGGAGCCTGAACTTTTTTCCATGGAGTGACTCCAATGGTATAAAAAATGCCAGAAAAATCTGTAATTCATAAGCACATAACAGATAAATTTTGTTCTGGGTTTCTCTGAAGGTCAGGGAAGTGGTAGGCTATTCTCAATACCAAACGCTATCATTCTAGTCTTGAGGTTTACGTAACAGTAACAAACCTTCAAAAGAACTAGGTCAACTTAAGTTTCTCCACAAATTACATTTGACTAGATGCAAACGCTACAAATAAGAAAAGCCCGACCACTGCAGGTACTGACTACAGTTCCCAGAGGTCTGTGGGGAAATGCCATCTTTGTAAACTTGGACTTTGCTGGGAGATCTGCAAGGACACCAGAGGCAGTTCCAGGCCAGGGCTTGTGACCCAGACACCCCACACCCATTTAGGCCCTTGGGCCAGGAAGACAATCATATTTGCCACATCTATAAGACTTATCAACCTCCCCTAAAATACTCATGTGCCATTGAGGATTAAGTTACGTGGGGAATCAAACTGGTTTCTGGCCTGAGTACATAGGGCCCTCTAACTCAAACAACAGGGAGATCCTGAGCATCTCCAAAGAGTGGGGAAGCTATTCCAGAAAGGGAACAATAGACTTCCTCCTTCATTCTTTAGGTTCTTCTGAGGCCCTCCCCACGTGTATCAGTGTGCGCTTCCTCCCTCCCCACTCACATGAGCACTGGAGTGTGCACACACCCTCTATGCATTTACTCTTGTTTCTGCCCAACCTTCTTCTGGAGCAGTGACGTCAAATCAAAAACCAGCTACCACCTCAGACACGAAGAACTCTGCCACACCAATG